GTGGAGGTGGAGAGCCCGCGACCCAAACTACGTTCACTGAACAAGCCAAAGCTTCGCGCCTGCGGCGGGTTTCCTGCATCGGCGACCCACCGGCGACCCACCCCGAGACCCACCCGCGACCCGACCCGCGACACCGACGACCCACCCGCGACCCATCCGCGACCCACCGCGACCCACCCGCGACCCACCTGCGACCCACCCCGCGACCCACCCAAAATGTTCGGCGCCTGCGGTGGGCTGCTTTTTGCTCGTCCAGACTCTTTTTTGCATTCGTGAGGGCCACGAGGTCCGCCGGCTCGACGCCCGCGTCGCCCGCGTTGGCCTCCTGGGGAGATCTTGAGGCAGCATGGGCCCATGGGAAGCCAAGCGGCGAGAAGGCAACACCCCTGGTGTTGCACAAAACTTGGCCTCCCGGGGGCGCCCCTTGGGAGGCTCCGTGGCCACTCGGGGCGGTCTTGGGGGGGTGCCTCGGGGCCTTTGGGGGGCAATGTGGCTCGTGATGCGAACGGCAATCGCGCGAGCTAGCAGCGACAACATCGGAAAGTGCGCACTCCAGATTTGGTAATAAAAGGAGGGGGGTCTCATTTCGGGGGGGGGTCTCTTCCAGGCTATCTTGGAGGGCCTGGGGGGTCTGGGGACGATGTTTTCGGAGGGTTCTCTCACGGGGGAGGTCTGAAATGGCTTGTCTTGGAGGGTCCAGACCCCCTCCCTTTTATTACGAAATCTGGAATGTTTTGCTTCGGGGAATTCCATGGACAGATGCCAGAGTTCTGTGCGCGCGCACCCGCTGCAATCAGAACACAAGCAGATCTTGCAGTCTTGAGAAGCTGCCGAGATCACGCAGCAATCATCGCGCGCCCGCCCATTCTGTCAGCTAGCACAGTGCGGGCAAGACGCGCGCGTTCCCGCGTGCGCATTCGGAAGGCAATGCAACCCAGTGTTTTCATATTCTGTGTTTGTACATGTGTCCAAGCACAGGTGAAACACTGGTTCTCCATAAGACACTTGTCATCTGTGCGCTTACACTTCCTTATCTTCCTCGCCTTCGCGCTTGCACTTGCCCATCATCTTCATCTTCACCATTGTTATAATCGCCAGCCTCCTCATTGCCATCGTCATCACCATCATCGTCATCACCATTGCCGCCGTATCATCACCACTGTCGTTAGCGTTGTCGGCAGTGTCGTTGTCCTCATGAGCATCGCCACCGCCATCACCGCAATAAGCATCGTCGCCGTCGTCGTTGCCAGTGTCGCCGTCACTATGATCCCGCGCCCGCCCGAGTCGTTCTGCATAAGGGTCCTCGCGTCATTGCGCCGGCTGAGGTTTGCGAAACAGTTATGGGTGAGTGGGCGGGGTGTTCGCTAGAGAATTAGAGTTAGTGGCCCCGGGGTTTTACATCTGTCTTCGAAGAGCAAAAAAATATGCACCCATGCCGAGGCCTAAGTCAACTGATCACCGTCGTACATCGATGTCAGTATTTCTTTGAGCGATCTTGTACAGAGGTATAGAGTCACACCACCCCAGCCCGTCCCCGCATCGCCTCCTAATCCCTGTCCAAGGCAATCTGCGGGGCAATCGCATTTCTCGTTCGAGGGCATCTCTCATGAATCCGTCTCGGATGATATGATGGCGTGCGGGCCACACACACACACACTGGCGCACATGACAGAGTGGTTACATGACTGAGTGGTCAAATGTTTTGGCGTTGTCAAACAATGTATTTGCAACCGATGCCAGTTGTGTGTCAAAAAAAGCACGTGTCAGGTGTTGTTTGCGCGCGCTCGCCGAAATCATAAGACACTGTGTTTGTGATTGTTTGTGGAAAGTATCACCAACCAAGCGTTCAGCACCTGCTGTTGAAAACCACCTTGCCCGACTTGCGCTGCCCCCCCCGTCGTCCCTTTCAACAAGTTGCATGTCGGCTATACGCGCGCGCGCGCCTCCGCGAGCACACGTTTGATGGATTCGACAACCAGGTGTTGTTGGCACGTTCGTGGTATGACCCTCCAAGCATACATATAGCTCTAGTTGCTTTCATACGATGTGCTCGCAAGTGAGGTGCTTGTAGTTTTTCGCCCAGGCATTCCCCTCACCATCACCATCATCATCATCATCAGCAGCAGCAGCATCAGCATCAGCATAATCATCGTCAGCATCGTCGTCGTCGTCGCCGCCGTCGTCGTCACCATCACCATCATCATCATCAGCAGCATCTCAATCCGCGTTGTCATCATCATCATCATCATCATCATCATCATCATCATCATCATCATCATCATCAGCAGCAGCAGCAGCAGCAGCAGCAACAGCAGCAGCATCAGCATCATCATCTTCAGCGTCATCATCATCATCATCATCACCATCATCATCATCATCAGCAGCAGCAGCAGCAGCAGCATCAGCAGCAGCAGCAGCATCGTGCCTCGCCCTCGCCCGCCCGAGCCCTGCGTCTGGATCTCCGTGATCCGGCGGCGTCCTTGCGCCTGCCGGGCGTAGCACGGCACGGGCGTGTGCTCCCGCGGAGGGGACGGCCCTCAGAGCGTGCCCCGAAGACCAGCGCCTTCCTCCCCCTTTTCCTCCTCCTCCTCCTCCTCCTCCTCCTCCTTCCCTTCCCTTCCCTTCCCTTCCCTTCCCTTCCCTTCCCTTCCCTTCCCTTCCCTTCCCTTTCTTCTCCTCCTCCTCCTCCTCCTCCTCCTCCTCCTCCTCCTCCTCCTCCTCCTCCTCCTCTTCCTCCTCCTCCTCCTCTCTTTCGGCACGGTGTGTGCGTCCGTTTCCACACCCCTGGTGAGGAAGAAAACGGCTTTCAAGTGCAACCGGCTTTCGCGTTACGGCGGCGGGTGTTGAAGCATGCGGTCCGCTCCCATCACAAAAATAAGGGATCGGCGGCGAGCGAGGGGGGGAACTGAGCGGGAGAAGGCCTTCCCAGAGGGCGGCGGGACTCCTCGGACGCCCTTCGCGCCCCCTCCGAGAAGTTCCCCGCGCCTTCGGGGAAGGCTCGACCACGACTTCTCCGAAGGCCTGGGGACCTCCGAGCCCTCGGAGAAGGCCCGCCCCGTCTCGCCTCCCCCCGTGGCTCGCCGCCGACGGGGCGAGGAGTTGGCCCCCTGGCTGCCCGCAGCCCGGGCAGGGCCAGCAGGCGGCCAGAGGACGGGGGAGCGGGTGCCTCTCGCTCCCCTGCCAGGGCGTCGGCCGCGGCACCAGGGGGGCATCTGCGAACCCCACCGCTCCCCCCCCCCCCCGCGATTTCTGGGGGGGGGGGGAGGGTGGGGGGGTCCATTCGCTCGGCAGCTCCCGGGCGAGGTGCACCCCACCCTCCCCCGCAGAAGTCCTGGGGGGGGGCAGGGGTGGGGTTCGCCTGTGGCCCCCCCGGCACTCCTCTCGAGCTGCCGGGCCCCAGCCCCACCCGTTCCCCTCAAGTGTCTGCACGAACGAAGTGGGATGGGTACAATGCCCAACAGCGGATCTGGTTCATTTTGAGCAGGACTCGCTGTCCGCGCCGCCGCGGCCTCTGTCCATTTGAGACAAACGGCCGCCTGCCCGACAGCGGCCGCTGTTGGTTTGGGGCAACTTTTGCTGTTGGGCGTTGCACCCACTCTTTCCGTACCCAGTTCGGGCGTCCATTCAAGTGGCGGAGCCGCGCTTGAGGGACTTGGCATCGCTCGGACGTGTGCATTTTGCCTTCGGCGAGGGCCATCGAGGAGCATCCTTGATCATTTGGCGAAAAACCCACGCACGAAACCGAAAAAAGCACAGGGAATGGACGTCCGAGCGATGGCGAGAACAAGTGGCGGAGCCGCGCTTGAGGGAGCGCCCCTGGCCCGGTGTAGCAGCCCGACGGGGGCGAGCCGAACGGCACGGGCAGCTCCGCCGCGCGCCCGGGCCCTGGGGCCGCGGCGCTCCCCGCGGGCCGCCGCACCCCGGGAGCCCTCCGCTTGGCTCCAGCTCGCACTGCTACGGGGCGTGAAAACGACCACAGCCACTGCTTTTCTTTTGTTGCCGCCTTCCAGCCCGCGGAAACAAAGCAGTGGTTGTGGTCATTTTCGTTGAGCTTGGCACCAGGGAGATGACTACAACTACTGCTTCCTTTTCGGCCGGCTGGAAGGCGGCGCGAACAAGAAGCAGTGGCTGTGGTCATTTTCCCGTCCCGCAACTGCCGCTGCCGCAGCTGCGAAGGCTGGCGCTCACTCAACCGCCAGCTGCGTCGGCGCTTCCGGGGAGCACCCCGCCGCCCCGGGCGCGCTGGAAGCGGAGATCGGGCCGTCCTGCAGTTCCGCCACCGCCTCTTCTCGACGACCTCTGCCGCCTGTTGGAAAGAGGGCGAGGACGAGCAGGAGCATGAACAGGAAGAGGAGGAGGGGAAGGAGGAGGAGGAGGAGGAGGAGGACGACGACGACGTCGACGACGAACTCAACGCTAGTAATCGATGATGCGCCAACAGCTCTGCAACGAATGTCCCTTCCAGCCCACCGCCGGGCCCGTAGGGAGTCCTGCGCAGGGTCGGCCAGCGCCGACGCCCAGCAGCGCACGCGGGCCCCGCTGCACGGACCGCCGTGCCTGGCCACGGCCACGCGTCGTCGTCGTCGTCCTCGTCGTCCTCGTCCTCGTCGTCGTCGTCGTCGTCGTTGTTCTTGCTGGGCCTCGCCGCGCACCCGCTCGGCATCCTACATCAGCGGCAGCTTCCTCCTGCTCGCATCCCGCCGGCCAGTTCCCGCCTGGCTCCGGGCTGGCAGCACCTGCGCCTGCACCCGGCTGGCGGACAGCGCCGCCTGCAAACGTCTTCTGTTTCTTGTCCTTCACCTCTTCTCTTTCTTCTCCTGCTTCTTCTTCTCTTCTTCTTCTTCTGAGTAGTATTGTTATTAGTATAATCCTCCTTTATTCTTCTCCTCTTTCTCCTTCTTCTTCTGCACCTTTCCCGAGGGCTCGGGCTCGACAGCACTGGCGCCACCTTGGAGCTGGGCAGCTCCATGGCCGCAGAGCGTGGGTTCCCGCGTGTCGTTCTCCCGCGCCTCGCCTGCCTCTTTCTGCATGGGAGGGACCACCGCCGACTCCTTCTGCAGCTGCGGTTTCTCCGACTCCAGCTCCTCGAGGTGCGGGAACGGCGGCAGCACCCCCAGGAACGCTACCGGCGCCACCTCCGACTGGTCGTCGCACGTCAGCCCGTGCCTTTCGTCGATGTAGCACGACTCGGCTCCTTGCGCCACGGGGACCCCGCCAAGTCCGCCGCAGCCTTCACGGAGGCGGAGCCGAGGGCTGCAGGGTCAGGGGTTCTGGTGGCGCCTTCTTCACAGCAGCTTTCGGCGCGCTTTCCTTGGCCGCGCCTCAAGCCTGCTGCTTCGAGGCAGACCTCTTTCCCAGCAGCTTTGGCCTTCTTCTCCGCCACCCAGGCCCGCTTCTCCGCCTTCTTGGTCAGCGGCTTGACCTTCGGCTTCACGCGCTGCTTGCACCGCAGCACGGCGCACTACCTTGGCCTGAGCCCGAGGTTGCTGAAAGGCCAACTTTTTGTTCATACATGTTATGCCCGATCGTCGATTTCCCACGGGGACGAGAGGAGCGCCTGCCGGAAATGTTCTCCCAAGCCTGGCCCGAATTTGTACTACATTATGCTAGCCGAGGGCGCGGCAACCCATGCGTCTTCGTGATGATGGGTATGATGGTGAGGATGATCAGGATGATCATGGAGACCTTGATCTCGTATCTTCCGTAATGTGTTGACCGCATTGTTGCCCAAAGTATTGCAGGTCGTCCCAGCCAATCCCCCTTATCGACATCCCGCTCAAGCCTCGTTGAATGAGCCTGGCGAAGGGCCCAACCACTTGCAGCTGCAAGTACCGCAAGACAGGTGCAAATTAATGGAGGGGGCCAGCATAAGGACGAAGGCGTGCGTGATAAGGACGGAGCGACGTTGCTGACGGGGTCGCAGGGGTCAGCAACAACGGGCTACGTCTGGTTGTAACCCGTCACGGCTGATCTGAGCGTCTGTCGGCCCGGCCTTGGGAAGCAGCAGGGCGCGGCCTAGGGAACAGCATTCGACGGAGCTTTCGGTGGAGCTCCTATAAGGCCACGAAACGTGCGAGAGGTGTGCCAAAATGAGTGCGGTCACGCATGCGATGTTTGCCGATGGGGCATTTGGTGGAGCTCCCTCGGGGGCCGCGAAAACTGCGAGGGGTGTGCCGAAATAGGCGCAGTCACGAATGCGATTTCTGCCTGCCACTGGGGACTTCGGCGGAGCTCCAGATGGGGCCAGGCGAGGGGTGTGCGGGAATGGGCACGGTCACGCATGCGATTCTGGCCAATGGAGCCGCAGGTGGAGTTCCCCATACAGTCGGGGCGTTGAAGAAGGAGCCCTTTTCGTTTGGGTGGGGCTCAGTGTTCCTTAGTTGTTTTGCAGCTCTCCCTAGGTTTTCCTTAGGTCTTCGATCGGAATTCGAAGCTTAACTTATGGAAAAAAAGGGGCCTCGTTCCTCATTTAGGGTTCCTTGGGTCAACGCCCCGACTGTAGGGCCACGTGTGAGGGGTGTGCCCACGTGGGCGCGGTCTCACGCGTGCGATGCCTGCTGCTGGGGCCTCGGGTGAAGCCCCCTTGTGGGGCCACGGAGCGCCAACCTGGTCTGGAAGCGGCGTGCTGACATTGTGCGCAACCAATTTTTCGGCTTTCAGGCGGAGCTCCTTGCGGGGCCACGAAGCGGGTGACTTGGCGTCGCTCGGACGTGTGCATTTTTCATTCGGCGAGGGCCATCGAGGAGCATCCTTTACCATTGTGCGCAGCCATTTGGGCTTTTGGCGGAGCTCCCTGCGGGGCCACGAAGCGTGTGCGGGGTGCGCCGAGGTGTGGTGGGGAGGGCATGCGGGCGCAGCCACTGGCTTGGCATCGCTCGGACGTGTGCATTTTTCCTTCGGCGAGGGCCATCGAGGAGCATCCTTGACCATTTGGCGAACAAAACACGCACGACACCGCAAACAAGCACAGGGAATGGGCGTCCGAGCGATGGCGAGGTGAGGGGTGCGCCGAAGTGTGGTGGGGAGGGCATGCGGGCGCAGCCACTGGGGCCTTCGGCGGAGATCGCTGTGGGGCCACGAAGCGGGTGACTTGGCATCGCTCGGACGTGTGCATGTTTCCTTCGGCGAGGGCCATCGAGGAGCATCCTTGACCATTTGGCGAACAAAACAAAAACACGCACGACACCGCAAAGAAAACACAGGGAATGGACGTCCGAGCGATGGCGAGGTGAGGGGTGCGCCGAAGTGTGGTGGGGAGGGCATGCGGGCGCAGCCACTGGGGCCTTCGATGGAGATCGCTGTGGGGCCACGACATGTGCGAGTGGTGCGCCAAATTGTAGTGGGGGGGGGGGGCATGCGGGCGCAGCCGCGCGGGCCTTGGGTGGAGCTCCCTGCGGGGCCACTGAACGTGTGATGAGGTGCACCAAAGTGGGGTGGCGGCGGCATGACGGCGCAACCATTGGAGCCTTCGGTGGAGCTTCTTATCGGGCCACAGGACGTGTGATTGGTGCGCCAAATTGGGTTGGCGGCGGCATGTGGGCGCAGCCACTGGGGCCGGGTGGAGGTCCCTGTGTGGCCACGAAACGTGTGAGGGGTGCGCCAAAGTGGAGTGGCGGTGGCATGCGAGCGCAAACATTGGGGCCTTAGGTGGAGCTCCTTGTGGGGCCACAAAACGTGGGATGGGGTGCGCCGCAGTGGGGTGGCGGCGGCATGCGAGCGCAATCACTTGGGCCTTAGGTGAAGCGCCCCATGGGGGCCACGAAACGTGCGAGGGGTGTGTCAAAGTGGGGTGAAGATGATGATAACGATGATGCAGACGTGCGGAGAGCATGAGGGGGAGGAGGAGGGAAGAGGGGAAGGATGGAAGGAGACGCCCAGCGCTGCTGATTCAAAGCGGGGACTCTACAGCACAGGATGGCTGGGACAGTGTTATGCGGAGCCCTCGCTTTGACTTTGCAAGTGCATGTTCAATGATTTCATGCGGGCCACGCGCACACGCGCCCCCGCGCTCACATGTCCAGATAATTTCCAAAGCATGGGCTCCCGAATGGTCTCAGGAACGTCTCACCATACACGTGTGCAGCAACACGCTTGCCAAATAAAGTTCAGTGCGCGCTTGCCTGCGAATGCCATAAGCACACATGTGCTTCTCCTCCGTCAGACGAGACCATGCGAACCATGCTCGCGTGCATGTCGAAGTCACCCGGCAATTGTCGTGCACCCGCCAACTTTGTCAACTAATACACGCCGGCCACACACGCGCGCGCCCGCGCGCGCATGAAGAAATCATTGCAACCCCATTGGCTTTCCACGCGTTTCAAGATAGAGGTGTTCTCAGCAGTAGTCTCTGTGCACACACGTTTGTTTACCGTTCCCATCAGTATCATCGTCATCATCACCGCCAGCGTCATCATTGCAGGTGGCATCACCGTCATCACCGTCACCACTGTTGTCGCCATGACCAGCACCATCGTCATCCCCATCATCATCACCACCATCATCATAATAATCATGTTCGTTACTGTCACCGCCCTCGTTAACAGTGTCGGCAAAACCAACATCATCAACATCATCGGCATCATGGTCATCATCACCATCAGCATCAGCATCAGCATCAGCATCGTCATCATCAGCACCATCAATCACCATCACCATTACGATTACTATTACCATCATCATCATCATCATCATCATCATCATCACCATCATGATCATCAGTCATCATCATCACCATCCTCATCCTCATTCTCATCATCATCGTTATCATAATCGTCATCATCGTCATTGTCATCGGAATGGTCATCGTCATCATCAGCATCATCAGCATCACCACCGCCATCACCATCCCCTTCACCATGACCGTCGTCGTCATCATGACCAGCATGAGCATCAACATCTCCAACAGCATCACCATCAGCATCATCACCATCACAACCTCCACCACCATCATCACCATCATCATCACCACCATCATCATCATCATCATCATCATCATCATCATCTATCAGTACCATCATAAGCATCATCACCCTCACCATCCTCACCATCATCAGCAGCAGCATCATCATCACCATCAACATCATCGGCATCATCATCATCACCATCACCATCACCATCACCATCATTACCATCACCACCACCACCATCACCATCACCATTACCATCACTACCAGAAACAGCATCACCACCATCGCCATCATCACCATCATTGCCATCAACGCCGTCGCCCTCGCAGCCGTGTTGGTCCAGGCGCCATAGCCAGTGCTTCAGCCACAAGCCCCCCCGCCAATCTCAGCCTTCCCTCAGAGCGTCGCGCCATGTCCTGCCTGGGAGGGCACGTGAGCGCCGCGGCTGCGCCTCGGCTGACGGTGCGCCCGCCGCCGGGGCTCCCCCCCCCGGCACATGCGTCCGACCTTCCTCTGGAGGTCGGAAAAGGGGTGTGGCATGGAGGCGTGTGGTGCCAATCGTGGTGGGGATGTGATCTGCGACAGATAACCTCGCCAGATCCAGCATTGGCACCACACCCCTTCAGACCTTGGTGGGCCCCGGAAACTGCGCAGGGCCGTTTTTTCACCGTTTCCCCAAAAATGTCCCTTGAAGATGGAAACGGCTAAAAAACGGCGACCGGAAACGGCAACAAAACGGCTCCAGGATTGGAACCGGAGCTGGAACCGGTCAAAAAACGGCGACGGAACCGGTAATAAAACGGCGTCGGAACGGGCAACAAAAACGGCAAAACGGAACCGGTAACAAAAACGGCTCTGTCGTTTCCAGGGCCCACTAAGCTTCACACCACGCCCCTCTCCGGCCCCCAGACTTCCCCGGCAGAGGCAGGCCCCCCCCGGCAGCTTCTACGCCCACCCCTGCGGGCGCGCGCTGGGCCCGCCGCCGGGCCTGGCCGCGCCCTGCTGCCGCACGGCCGAAGGGCCGTGGGCGCCCGGCGCCTGGGAGGGCGCGCCCTCGACGAGGTGCTCTTCGCGGGAGTCCACCAGGTCGGGGGCACGCAGACCGAAGAAGGAAACACGCCACAAACATAATTCAACGTTTGGCGCTCCGCGCGGATTTCTTGGATCCGCGCTGGGGTGGGCTCTCCCAGCGGCCCCTCCGGCGCCGCCCCTGGCGCGCTCCGCGCGCCGGGCAGGGGGACCTGGCGCAGATCTTAGAAATCCACGCGGAATGCCAAAAGTTTATGTTTAAGGCGTTTTTTTCTTTTTCCAGCAGAGGGAGGGGTGTCCCAAGGTGGGGCTGGGGAACGGGCCCCAGCTGGAGGCTCCTGTTTCACGCGCTTCCCTCTTCCGGGGGCCGTTCGGAGCGGTTTTCCTTCCAGCCCTACCTTTGCCCCAATCCCGCCTCTGTGCCCCCCCGAGCAGGGCGCCGTGCGCTTTCGCCGCCATCGCCGACAGCGGCTCCGACTCCGACGTCTATCCTGGCGGGCGTGTGCTGGGCCCGCCGCCGGGCCTCGTCACGCCCTGCTGCCGCGCGGCCGACGGGCCGTGGGCGGCCGGCGCCTGGGAGGGCGCGCCGGTGCCATCGACGAGGCTCGCCGATGAGGAGGAGGAGTAGGAGGAGGAGGAGGAGGAGGAGGAGGAGGAGGAGGAGGAGGAGGAGGAGGGAGGAGGAGGAGGAGGAGGAGGAGGAGGAGGATCGGCCGCGCCGCGGATGCGACCTGGGGCCGCGCTCGAAAGGCTCGAAAGGAGGAGGAGGAGGAGGAGGAGGAGGAGGAGGAGGAGGCATCGAGCAAAGGAGGAGGACTCGGTGAGGAGTGAATTGCATGAGCATGAACTGTCGGAGAGCAGCCTGGGCTCGATCTGGGCGCTGGGCGCCCCTCCCTGGCGCGCTCCAGGCGCCAGGGGGGTGGGCGTCTGCAGCGCCGATCCAAGAAGCCCGCGTAGGCATCCAGAAGTCCGCATCAGGTTCTACTCCTCTTCTCCGCGGCGAGCGAGGGGGGAGGGGACCATCCGCCGGAGGGGCGGCGAGCGAGGGAGGAGGAAGAGGAGGAGGAGGAGGAGGAGGAAGAGGAGATGGAGGACGAGGACGAGGAAGCGGAGGAGGAGGAGGCGGAGGAGGAGGAGGAGGAGGAGCAGGAGGAGGAGGAGGAGGGAGGAGGAGGTGGAGGAGGCGGAGGCCGAGGCGGAGGACCCAGACCTCGCAATCTCGCCAGCCCGCCGCGAGCTTGCTTCTTCCAGAGGAGCCCGTCGCCGGAGTCTGCCAGGGCGCCGTGCGCCAGCGCCGCGATCGCCGACAGCGGCTCCGACTCCGACGGCCCGGGAGCGCGGCTGCCACCGGGGGCGTGGAGCTCCCAGGGCGAAGGGGGCGCCCCGAGGCCGCCAGGCTGCTTCGGCGGGGCCGGCTGCGGCCACGAGTTGGGCAAGCCTGGCGTCCCGTCGGCCGGCTCCGCCCAGCACCACCTCGGGCTCTGCAGGCCGTGCGACTTCGTCTACCGCGGCGCCTGCCGCGAGGGCACTCCGAGGAGGAAAGGGTACCCATACCGCTACCCTCCGGCCGTTTTTTCCCCTCTTCTCTCTTTGGGCCTCCTGGGAGGCCCTCGTCACCACCGCTGGATCCGCCTCGAAATTCTGGTCAGAACGCACCCTGGGAGAGGTCCAGGGTGCACTCGAAATCCCTTAATAATCGATCCGCCCCTAAAAAAACCGGACCGTCCCTTGAAAGACAACCTAATTTTCAGGACCTCCTTGCCAACGGGGGGGCATTCATATTCCCGACCCCTCTCGTCTTCGGTTTAAGGAAAGTGCCCTAACAAACCGGACCCCCCCGCTTCCAAAAAACGGCGCCTTAAGAAACCAGACCCCGGAGACGCGTATTGAGGGATTTCGAGTAGCAGTATCGGTACCTTCTGGTTCCCCCAGGCACCTCTTGCAGGTTCTGCCACCTGTGTGGCCCGGACGAGGTCCAGCGGAGGAAGAAGGAGCAGAGGCGTCAGCACAGGGCACAGCAGCGCGCAGTGGCGCGGGCATGAGTGGCGCTCGCTCCCGTCGGCGGCCTGCCGACTCGGCGAGCCCCTGCCGTGGGGTCGGCAGCGCGGTGAATTCGGCCACGCCGCCAGAGGTCGGCCACGCGCAGAGGGGGTTAGGCCTCCTAGATGGGGTCGGAGTGGATGGGATCGGAGGATCGCGCCGCATCGACGATGCATCGGCGACGTCGCCAGTGCATCACCGACGTTGCCGGCACATCGCCGATGCATCGCCGATACAGGCATCGGCGATGCGGCGCGATCCTCGGACCACATCTATCCCGACTCCATCCAGGAGGCCTCTGGGTATGGGGGAGGCAGGAAGTCTTCTTCGAAGCACCCCTGCTTCCTAGAAGACGCGGGCCTTGTCTGTAGATGTAAGGCCGGCGCCTTACAATGAGCAGCTTGCTTTCAAGATGTCTTCTCCCCTCCCCCTACCCCCGTCTGCGCGCCGCCAAATAGGGGAGACGGATGAGGATGAGGAGGGATCGGTGAAGCGTAAGACTCGAGTTCGCCAGAACTCGGGTTTGCCGACGCTTTTTGACGGGCCCGTCCTGAACTTTCGCGGTCCAGCCTCCGTGGGATGCTTGCAGCTGGAGCGCGCGTCAAATCTCAGACTGGGTCTTGTCATTTTCCTGACGGCCCCGTCAGGTCAAACAGAGCCCCCCCAAGCCCGAGTCCCACGTCTCCCCGAAGCAGACGGGGATTTTTGAGGCGGCCGAGCCCAGACGAAATCGGCGCGCTCCGTCGCACAACTCAGGCGTCACTGGCGCCATGTTTGGGAGGGTACGGTCGATAACGTTTGCACAGCGTGTCGCGTCTCGGCGGCAAGCCCAGGGGGCAAGTGAGAAGGAGAAGGCCTTCTCAGAAGGCTCGGACGTCCCCCAGCCGTCTGAGAAGGAGAAGGCCTTCTCAGAAGGCACGGACAACTTCTCACAAGGCGCGAGGACGGCGCAGAAACCCCGCCGCCTTCTGAGAGGAGGAGGAGGAAAAGGAGGAGGAGGGGGAGGAGGGAGAAGGGAGGGAGGAGGAGGAAGAGGAGGAGGAGGAGAAGGAGGAAGAAGGCCATCTCCTTCTCACTCCCCCCCCTCGCTCGCCGCCGAGCTTCGCTGGCTCAGGTCCTCCGCCCTTCGGCGCGACACGCTATACCCAATGCCCAGTCCCCGAGCGTCCACTTCCCGCGCCTCTCGAAGCCCTCCGCCCTCTGGAGCGGAGCGACACGCCAGCCACTCGCAAGGCTTAAGTCGGGCCTGCCCCTCTACAGGAGGAAAATTCAAAACTAGTAAGAATTAAATATCGGAGCGATATGTTTTGTATTTTCTGATGTTTCTCCATCGTCTGGACTGGACTATTCTTGATTTTCATCCAAGATTCGCCTGTAGGAGGATGTGCCCGATCTAGCGTCAACGCCCCGCGCCTTTCGGAGCCTTCCGCCCCGCCGAGCGGAGCGACACGCCAGCCACTCGCAAGGCATGGCGTGTCGTCAGAGCCGCCGCCGCGACACGCGAAGCAGAAACTCCCGACCGCACTCCCCTGGGATCCGCTTGGCATCGCTCGGACGTGTGCATTTTTCCTTCGGCGAGGACCACCGAGGAGCATCCTTGATCATTTGGCGAACAAGCCACGCACGAAACCGAAAACAACACAGGGAATGGACGTCCGGTTGATGGCCAGTCCGCCGCTGCGAGAAGAAATGCATCATCGCAGCAGATCGTGCCCGCAGGCCCAGACCCAATCTGCCCGTGTCGTTTTTCGATCCGGATCCATTCGTGAGGGTCCCAGGGCCCGAATTTCGCCGAGAGCGCCCGCTGCGAAAAAACATGCAACAAAACACGCTTTCTGTCGCTGCTGGCAGTGGGGGATTCAAACCCCCCGCCCCCCCCCGCCGCCAAACCAAGTGGGGAGGGGGGGGGGTTCTTGGACCCCCCCCCCTGGATAATAATTCGGGTCGGGGGGGTCCATAACCCCGTCCCCCTCTTCACCCTGGAAAAACTAGTTGGGGAGTGCAGATACCCCGCCCCGACGCAACAACGACGACGCCGCCGACGACGACGCCGACGCCGACGCCGACGACGACGACGCCGACGCCGACGCCGACGACGACGAAAACGACGACTGCGGCGACGAAGGATGACGGACAACGACAACGACGACGTTGACGACGACGACGACGTTGACGACGCCGACGACGACGACGTCGACGACCACGACCACGACGAAGGACGATGGACGACGACGACCTCGACGACGACGACGACGTTGCCGACGCCGACGACGCCGACGCCTGAGGTGACGCTCACGACGACGCCGACGATGACGACGACGACGACGGCGACGCAGGACGACGGACGACGCCGACGACGCAGGACGACGGACGACGCCGACGACGAAGACGATGACGACGACGATGACGACGACGACGACGGTGACGACGACGACGAAGACGACGAGTATGCCGACACGCCGACGACGACGATCAAGCCATGACGGGGCACGGTCAAAGCAGGGTCGGACCCTAGTAGGAGTCCATCAAAGTTGGATGGAGCCCTGACCGGGTGTTGCGTTTGAGTTGGATGTAGCCCTTGCAGGTTTGAGTCAAACATGCATCGAGCCCTAGCAGGAGCGATACTTAGCAGGATCCAGCCAGAGTTGGATCCAGCCCATAATATTCTATCACAGCGAATTCCAGCATCAGTGGGATCTGGTAAGAGTTGGATCGCCCCTAGTGAGATTACATGAGATAGGTACTCAAGCATCGAAGGATCCTGTCAGACCTGGATCCAGAGGCTGGATTGAGCCTCTGTCGGTTTCCATGAGAGTTTGCTAGGGCTTTGTTTCCGCTGAACCAAGCATTTGTAGCATTCTACTTGGGCTTGATCGAACCCTGACCGGTTTTTGTATGAGAGCTGGAACCGCTCCAAGTAGCAGGAACCCGTCAGAGGTTGATCGAGCCCTCGTCGGATTCTGAAAGAGCTGGATGGGGCCCTAGTAGCATTCTATCAGAACCGGTGCCTGTCGGACAGCGCCGGCGATGGGTGCGCCGCCGCTGCCGCCGCCGCTGACACGCGCAGGAGTGACCATAGGCTGGAGTGACCTTTGGTGCGCGGCTTCGAGGGTGCCCGTGGGTGCCCAACGCAACCGCGCAAGCCAGTGCTGTGGCGCCGCAGCAACGATCGGCCGGACGCCGCTGGAAAGGTTTTTCGCGTCAGCGGGCAACCGCGGAATTCCGCCAATCGGATTTGAACGCCCCGGTTGGCACTTCGAGGGCGCCGCGAAAACGGGCGCTGCCAGGAGTCACTACGATGAAGTCTGTTGTCGCCGTCGTTGTAGGGCGTCGTCGTCGTCGCCGCCGCCGCCGCGGTCGTCGTCGTCGTCCTCGTCGTCGTCGTCGTCGTCGTCGTCGTCGTCGTCGTCGTCGTCGTCGTCGCCACGAGGATGGGGATTCTGACCCCCCTGATTGATTTTCCCCGGGGGGGGGGGGGGGCAAGCCCCCCACGACCTCTGCGGGGGGAGGGGGTCTGGGCGGGGACGTTTCAGGGGTGAGGGGGGAGGGGTGGTCCTGGTTGCCCACCCCCTTCTGTGGAACTTGCTCGGGCCGGTGACGGTGGATCGCGCTTCTTCGAGAGCTCCAGCGCCCGGATCCGACGGCCCCCCCCCTCCCGATCTGCGGGCGTGGCGCCCGCGCGCCAGATCCAGGGGTCCGTCTCCCGTGTTCCCGGAATCGTTCGGACGTGTGCCCTCGAGGAGCAGCCGAGGCCATCGGGCAAAAAGAGCACTCGCGAAACCGACAACAGGCGGTGCCGAAGATCTTGCACAGGACAAGGTACGCCAAGGACTGGAGCAGGGGGCGCGGTCCCAGGGGAAGTGGATTGGTGTTGCCGTCATCGGCGCGCCAAGAACACCATCGCGAAACCGACAAGCATGCATATGGCGTCCAGGCGATGGCGAGTGGTAGGCGTGCGCCCAGGGCGGGGGGAGGGCGGGAGCGGGGGCACAAGGATTGGTGCTGGACGGGGGGCGGAGAAACAGCGCAGGGGACTTGGCATCGCTCGGACGTGTGCATTTTTTTCTTCGGCGAGGACCACCGAGGAGCATCCTTGATCATGTGGCGAAAAAACCACGCACGAAACCATACAAAAACACAGGGAATGGACGTCCGAGCGATGGCCAGGGGAGCTCCCTCCTCAGGCGCAAGGGGCCTCGTGGCCGAGCGGGCACCCCTTGCCCAGAAGCGACGGACGCGGAGCCGTCGGGCGTTGCGTGAGGGGTGCGCGGTAAATCGGAGGGCGGAGAAGCGTGCACCTCTCGTGCGCCCTCGGTGCCTTGAAAACGTCCCTCTGGGCCTCGCAGAGTCGCGAAGGGTGCCCGTGTCTTTGCCCCCCCCTTTCTTTCGGAGAAGAAGAACGGCACGAGCATAAATGTTCGGCGCTCCGCGCGGTTTTCTTGGATCTGCGCTGGGCCCCCTGGCGGCGCCTCTGGCGCCGCACCCGGCGCGCTCCGCGTGCCAGTGACGGGGGCCCAACGCGGATCCAAGAACTCTCCGCGCAGCACCAGAAGTTTATGCTCGTGGCGTTCTGTCGATTCTTCGGCTGCTCTAAGCGGCATGCGTATCAACTTTTTGGAGCTCCGCGCGGATCTCTTGGATCGGCGCTGGGCCCCCTGCTGCCCCGGAGACGGAGCGGCGCGCCTGGGGCGGGCGCGGGAGGCGCCGCGCCGCCCGTGCCCACGGAGCCCCTCGGACGTCCCCGCGGGCGCCCGCCCACCAGAGGCGGGCGCCTCGGATGGGGCTCGAGGCTCGAGGCTCGCTTCTCGGAGGCGACGGTGCGGCCAAGAGCCCAGGGACCTCGAACAGGAAAGCACGCCACAAACAGAAAACTTCTGAGTTCCGCGCGGGGTTCTCGCATCGGCGCTGGGGCCCCCTGGCGGCGCCGCCCCTGGCGCGCTCCGCACGCCCGGGAGGATGGCCCAGCGTGGATCCAAGAACTCCGCGCCGACCTCCGAGTTGTTATGTTTATGCAATTTGTTTCGTTCCCCTACTCTCGGAGGCGGCGATGCTGCCAATAGCCCAGAGACCGGCGTTGCACGCAGCTGCCCCGGAGCCGTGCCGCATGCCGAGGGCGCGGAGCATCGGCGCCCCCGGATGCAGTCAACCCGCTTTGTGAGGAAGGGTGGACTTTCTCAAGGGTAGCCTTGCATCCCTGCCTTCTCGGTCCATCCTTTGCCACTGTTGTGGGCCGCGCCCCGCTCGAAAAGCCTCGAAATGGGCAACCCAGGCCCTTGCATCCTCGTCGCGCATCCTCGTGATACGGGCAGGCTCTACAAGGATTGCTCTCCCCTGGGCTCTTCGCCCGCATCCCAGACCCCCGACGCAATGATTGTTGCATGACGTCGACCCCCAGATGTCTGGACCCACTCCCCAGGACCAGTTTCTCATCCTGAGCAGTTTTTTGACGGCCCAGAGGCCTGAGGGCCGCCGGAGGCCGAACATCGTCACAAAACATTCCGCCGTGATGCTTTCGTACCCGAGGGGGTCTGGGATCGTCACCCCCGACCGTTTCGGGCTCGAGGTTTTTTAGCTTCGGGCAAGGTCGGGGACTTCGGGCCGGCCGACGCCCGCTTCCACCTCGCAGGCCTAGAGGTTGACACCAACACCAAGATCGGCGGCGGTCCTCCACCGAGGGAAGGAAATCCCGATCTCGGTGACGGTGGTACTATTCTGGCTTCCGAGGTGGCCGAGGTATCACCACCAGCACTGAATTCTAGGATCGCCTCCACCCTGTGGAGGCAGCCCCGTGTCTTGGTGTCGGTGCCCACTTCCAGGCCTCCAACCACCCCCCGCCCGCCCGCGCCCTGCGGCCCCGCGCCGCCCCTGCCTGCGGAGCCCCCGGACTCCCCCGCGGGCGCCCGCCCACCAGAGGCGGGAGCCCAGAGGGCGCAAGGTTCGAGCGCGCTCCTCTGACCCCCTCCTCCTCCTCCTCCTCCTCCTCCTCCTCCTCCTCCTCCTCCTCCTCCTCCTCCTCCTCCTCGTCCTCCTCCTCTTCCTCCTCCCCCTCCTCCTCTTTCTCCTCCTACTCGGACCCCACCTGGGAGACCTCTAAGGTTCGGGTCTCGTTTTGGGCTCGAGGCTCGAGGTTCGGGCTGGCGGAATCGATGCCATCGGACGTTTTTTCGTCCGTTCTCGGCGGTTCTCCTGCCTCGTGGTTTCCAGCAGCTGCGCTTCGCCCGAGGGCGTTCCGGGGAAGCCCAGAGGGTTCGAGATTCGAGGTTCGTTTCGGGTTCGTCGGGGGACGAATACTGTCAGGATGGAAAATAACACGCAGACACAATTAGCCGCTTATTCCCAGGAAAGTATGGGAAAACAGGGACAGTGGGGGGCAGACGAAAACCCAGAAAATCTTGGAATATAGTGGAATCCTGGGATTTGTTTGTATTTGCTTACTTGTCCCTGGGCCCTTTGTATAATGGCATGCGCACATTGTCGTTGGTCCGCGCGGGTTTCTCGAATCGGCGCTGGGGCCCCCCTGGCGCGTCTCAGGTGCCGCTCATTGCGCGCTCTGCGCGTCAGGGAGTGGGGTCCAGGTTCGATCCAGAACATCCGAGCGGACCTCCGAATGTCTATCTTTCTGTACCGTGAGGTTCCTCTAGTTCGAGGTTCGACGCTCGGGTTCGAGGTTGTTCGGCCGTTTTCGCCAGCTCGCGGCGGTTCTCCACCGTCGAGGTGCTTCCCAGCAGCTGCGCCTCGCCGATGGCGGTCTGGGGGAGCCCGGACCGTCCCGGACGGCCGCTGGAGAGCCGAGCTGTGACCTGAAAACGAAATGACAATGCTGGGCCATTTTCTACACCACCACTACCACTGGCAGGGCGGGGGAGAAGGGAGGCTGGGGAGGTCCTCCTCCTCCTCCTCCTCCTCCTCCTCCTCCTCCTCCTCCTCCTCCTCCTCCTCATCTACTCCTCCTCCTCCTCCTCCTCCTCCTCCTCCCCCTCCTCCTCCTCTTCCCTCTCCTACATGTGGTAGCGGTGGAGGAAAATCGGCCCATCAGACGAGGATTATCGGTGGGTCGGAGGCCCAGGGGTTGGCACCAGCACCAATACCGACTAGTGCCTCCACCAGGGCACGATGATTCCGATTCATGTGAGGGTGATAACGTTTCGGACGTGAGCATTTTTCTTTCGGCGAGGACAATTGGGGAGCATCCTTGATCATTTGGCGAAAAACCCACGCACGAAACAAAAAAAGACACAGGGAATGGACGTCCGAGCGATTGGCGAGTGAGGGTGGTAATGTGTCGGGCTTCGTGGGCGGCCGACACGTGCCCGCAAGCACCAAGATCTAGGATACTCTTCCCCCGCTGGAGGCACCCCCCTACCTCCCTGTGTTGGTGTGAGTGGCCATCTCCAGGCCTCCAACAGAGGCGCGCGCGGACATCCACGCGGGCGGCACTTGGAAAGAGAAAACAAGAAACTTGAGACAGGAGTCCTGTGCAAGGCATCGTTGGTGCATCCTAGGGTCACCCTGACCCCTTTTGGTCCTTCTCCCCCTCCTCCCCGCGGTCCCCTCCATCTAACTGCACAGAACCAGAGCGGCGGTGGAGTCATTTTTGCTAGAGTGCGCGCTTCTCGTCTACACGAGCCTCACGTGCGCATCGCGGGCTTCCGATTATTGCTTCTTTGTTGCGCGCATAGAAGCGCAGGGTGCAGGTATTGACGACTGCGGATGAGGGTGCATCAAGGCACCACACCGTTATAATACATATATGTATAATATATGTATGGATATACACTATTTGCTTGTTCATCTTGCCGGTCTCAGGCGTTGTGGATTGCGGATGAGGGTTCATCAAGTTGCCGCACCGCATTCGTGATTAGAATCCGTTGTGGGCACCGTTATTTAGCCCAAGAGTTATTGCACAGTAAGCTGCAGTACCCACTTAATGACTGCAGAGTCCACGCCTGCCGCGCAACCTCGTTTTGCCGTCGGTGATCAATGAAGCCAGCGTCGCCGTCGCCGAAGTCTTCGTCACTATCATGCCTCGCCCTTCCGAATCACGGATATGAATGAGAGTTGTCATCGCGTCATTGTGTCAGTTGGTTTGGGTTTAAGTATATTTCTCTCTCGCTCTCTCTCTCTCTCTCGTTCCCTCTCTTGTTCTCTTTCTCTCTCGCTTCCTCTGTCCATCGCACTCGTTGTGATTGAACTCTGCTACCCTTTTTAGTTTGACATCTTCTGGCGTGGCCAGCCCCATTTGAGGTCTCATCGTTGAGTGCTGCTTCGCAGTTGGAGCCCTCCGTCACTATTTCGTCGAGTGCGTACATCAGAGGCATTGGATGCCTCTCTACTTTACGAACTGATTGCACGCGAACGTCGGGACGGCTACCATCCGTCATACAAAAAACGTTGCGTGTGTGTGTTTGTGTCCACGATGGGGAAAGACATGGTTTCAAAAGCGGGCGTGTGGGTGAGATGTTTGCTCGACTGCTGGAGTTGGTAAGTGCAGCATCTGCCATTTCCATTGCACCCCATGTATCGCACACCACCGGTTGCACCCCACAGGCTTTACCTTGTGGGTTGCATCGCATGAGTTGCACCCCAGATCTTGCACCTCGTAGATTTCACTTCCTTGTCTGGACCCCATCAGTTGCACCCTGCAGATTGCACTCCATAGACGGCGCCCTCATAGACCACACCCCGTAATTTCCCCCCGATGCGTGGAGACCCATAGACCACATGGCGCCACTGGCCATGGCGGCACCAACTAGTAGCATAACGCGCTCATTGTTGAGGTGGCGTACCATCATGCCATGAAGGCAGGCGTCGTCGGACCCCATGGGTGGGTGTGCGACCATCAGCAGCTCCTCCCTGGCTGACCATACTCGACATGGGCACGGCAGCGTTCGAGCCTGTGATGCAGTCTCGAGATCGTGAGCTCATGCCGCCCGTCAGGGTTCTCTTCTCGGCGGCGAGCGAGGGGGGAAATTGAGAAGGAGAAGGCCTCCGCAGAAGGTTCGGAAGCCCCCCGGCCTTCTGAGAAGTTGTCTGAGCCTTCCCGTAAGACACGGGCACAGTCTCGGGAGGCGCGAGGGCTTCTGAGAAGCCCCAACGCCTTCCGAGACTCGCCCCCCCCATCGCTCGCCCCCCCTGCTCGCCCCCCCTCGCTCGCGAGTTCTCCTTCTGACTTCCCCCCCCTCGCTCGCCGCCGATCTCCGCAGAGAGGGCGAGGAGGCCAGGGGGGAGAGGTTGGACCGCCGTGCACGGGCACAGCGGCAGAGGCCCGGGCCTCCGTGCAGGAGCGCACTCTCAGCGTGCGCGGGGTGGCAGGCTCTCCGCTGTGCCTCCTCGGAGGGAGGGAGGGAGGAGGAGGAAAGAGGAGGAGGAGGAGGAGGAGGGAGAAGGAGGAGGAAGGAGGAAGGAGGAGGAGGAGGAGGAAGGAGGACCGCCCCGCGAGGAGGGCGACGTGGTCGCGCACTGGTCCGAGTCGGAGCGCGCCCTGCAGCGTGCCGGCAGCGTCTACGGTCGGGGCGGCGCAGGGCTCGCGCTCGGGGAGTGACGGACGGCATGCCCATCGGTCGCTGAAGGTATGTATTTTTTTAATTCCCAGGTCCCAATCTGCTTCAAGCGCCTTCCTACTTTCGGGGGAGCGTAAGACCCGGGTTTGCCGGGACTCGGGTTCGCCATCGTTTTTTGACGACCGCGCCTCGGATTTTGACGAGGAGGAGTTTCGTGGGATGTCTGCAGCGGGAGGCCTCGTCAAAATGCAGGCTCGGCCTCGTCATTGTTTTGACGACCTCGTCGGGGATTTCCGAGTCCCCTGTACCCAGGTCTTACGTCCCCCTGATACTTCAATGATCGAGCTGTTTCACCGTTTCCGTCCTTCTCAGGGGGCGGGCGGAAGCCCAATCTGTGTTCAACGCGTTCCTACTTCATGTGTCTGCCTACTTCTTCCGACCGATGGGTAAGCATGCATGTTCGGAGGTCCGTGCGGGTTTCTCGGATCGGCGCTGGAGCCACTCGCAGGGGAGGACATGTTTTCGATACAGCTGCCTTTGCCTCGTTGTCGCACTCTTGGGCCTCCTGGGAGGCCCTCGTCGCCACCGCTGGACTCGCCTTCAAATTCTGGTTTGAACGCACCCTGGGAGAGGTCCGTGGAGTAGTGGTACCGTACCTTTGGTTCCCCAACACCTGGCGCCGTCCCTGGCGCGCGGAGCGCGCCAGGGAGGGGGGTCCAGTGCCGATCCAATGCATCTGCTTCCGAAGGTTTGTACTTTCGTCACTCTGTTCTCCGTGATGCAGGGTCGCCATGGAGCAACGGGAGCAAGCGGGTTTTCAGGGAAACGGGTCCTGAGGTGCTTCGCTGTGTTCAACCTCTTGGGGGCCGTTCCCGGGCCCCAGGACCATGGAGATCAGTTCAGGACGTCCAGGGGGAAGGCCCCGTGGTCCAGGACCCGTTTCCCTCAGGCCCCATTCCTTTTTGTGGCAAGCAAGAGTGATAGGAGGTAGGGCGCGGAGGGGTAAGCAGGCGGTGGACTTGACGGCAGTGGCAGTGCCCAGGCGGAGCACGTTCGGTGGTTGGCGGTTTCCGCATCGTCCTCCCTCTCTTGCCAGGTTCTATCCGCTGTGGTTTCCCCTCTCACACTTCGTACCCACGGCTAACACATGAGGTTCTGATTTTTTGCATCTTACTCGTTGACCGCATGCCTGCGCAACACGCGCACACCCAAACACTTTTTCCAGTCGCGGCTGGTTGATCCAATGCAGCGAGTTCGTGGGCGGGACACGCCTAGGTCAGTTAGCGCCAGGCATGTGAATGGTCAGGACGTGGCTGACGCAAAGACACACAGCTTCAGGACATGGCGGGACGGGGGAAGGAGGGGAAGGAGTTGGCGCGAGGCGCATTGTCGCAGAGGGTCTTGGGGACAGCAGCCAAGAAAAAGCTGGGGCAAGCTACCTAAAACGCCAGGCTTCTTCCCGGCGAGGACAGCAGTAGAAAAGTCCACTCGGAAGGGCGCCGATGGAGGTTGAGATCGAGGGGATGATCGTGCGGGCGCGAAGCTCGCTGGAGAAACACTGACGAGGAGAGCTGGATGGCGAGAGGATTGCAGCAAATCAGCGTCACCCAAGGAAAATCTGGGGGAACGGACAATGACATAAACATAACAAAATTGAGGTCCGCGCGGATTTCTCGGATCCGCGCTGGACGCCCCTGGCGGCGCCTCCGGCGCCGCCCCTGGCGCGCTTCGCACGCAAGAGAGGGGGGTCCAGCGCCGATCCGAGAAATCCGCGCGGACCTTTTTGAGTTTTTATGTTAATGTCATTCTTCGTTCCCCTAGAATCGGCAGCTTTGAGACCCGGGTCGCCGCGGATTGGAGCGCACAGGTCGGTCACCAGTGGCAGGACGACCCCACGCATTGCTTGAGCACTGGTCGGTGAGTCGGTGACCTTCGCGGCAGGGAATACCTGCATCGCTTGCAGTGGTCATGGCTTGCCCAGGGACGCACACCAAGAACCACCAACACCCACACACACACATATACACGCACGCACGCACGCACGCACGCACGCACGCACGCACGCACGCACGCACGCACGCACGCACGCACGCACACACACACACACACACACAGACACACACACACACACACACACACACGCACGCACGCACGCACACGCACACACACACACACACACACCACACACCACACACACACCACGCACGCACGCACGCACGCACGCACGCACGCACGCACGCACGCACACACACACACACACACACACACACACACACACACACACACACACACACACACACACACACACACACACACACACACACACACACGCACACGCAAGAAAAGGGAATCCCCATGTGTTCCAATATTTCTGGGGTTTCGTTGCCCCCTCCACTTCGCAGCTGGTCCCAGATGTTCCCGGAAGCGGCGTTTCTATGTGTGGCTGTGCGTGGCCGCTGCGGTCCGAGCGCTACGAGCACGGCACCGCCAAGTCCAGACCTGGCCGAGGTGCACCCGAGGAGGGCGCGCAGCGTGAGGGGCTGCGGCCGCGGTGGGGGACCAGCGCCGGCGCTCCCCTGCTTCACGAAGTCAGAACAGAGGCCCAATCCCCAAAAACGCGAGGGCCAAGACATAATGCAGGCTCCTCGAGGCTTCGGGGAGGGAGATTTTTGGGGCAGGCTTCACCAGGGCGGCGACGACGAGCGCAAACCATACCCCGAAATCTTTTTGGCCGAGCTTCGAGTCCTCGGCGAATCCGCGATTTTGGGGTTGGGGGATGTGTTTTTTCGTGGTCACTGGTGGTGTGCAGGCCTTGATGTGCACGACGCGTTCTCCCAGCGCGTGCTGGACGACGTCAGGACCGCTGGGGGGCCCTCGCCGCGACACGTCCCGCAGTTCTTTTGCCGTGAGTCGCGGCGCGTCGGCTGCGCCCCGTCCAGGGTTTGGCCTGGCTCGCCTTGTCTTCTCAGCAGTCGACCCGCATGGAAAGGATGAGCGATTTCCCAAGGGGCGCCCCTGCATCCTTCCCCTTCGGCCCATCCTTGGCCGCCTTCGCTGGCCGCTCCCCGCTCGCAAAGCGTCGACGTGGCATCCCGAGGCCCTAGCATCCCTACCGTGCGTCCCTCTTATACGGGTTGGCTGTGCCGTTCCTTGTGCTCTGTTGCTGGTTCCCCTCATGTAATCTCTTATGTGCCGGCTCCCGCGCCAGGCGGGCCTGCCCTTTGCCGCGGCCGATCTCGGGTGATTAACTCGGGACCCCCCCAAACCAAGCACCTGGCATCGCTCGGACGTGTGCGTTTTTTCCTCGGCGAGGACCATCGAGGAGCATCCTTGATCATTTGGCGAAAGAGCCACGCACGAAACCGAAAAAAACACAGGGAATGGACGTCCGAGCGATGGCCAGAGCACCGACCCCTCTCCCCATTAGTGGCGCGGTCGGTCCAGGCGCAGAACCCAGACAGGCGATGTAGTGATATTGCTAACACGGGGTCCCCTGGAAGTCCCGACATTTTCCCCAGGGCGTGT